GTTCGAGATAATCTTGGTGAAAAAGAAGTAAAGGTGATAGCCAAAGTTTTAACGTTCCCTAACCCTATCGCCATCACATCCCATCTTAGTAGGCTCTGAAGAAAGTTGCGAAAACTCAATACCCCAGAAAAAATAATCTCTGTCACATTAGATGAAGAAACAATCTGCACATCTAATAAGATTCAAAAGGAGTGTAAGGATCAACATGAAAATGAAGGGATTGATTTTCCAGATCACTTCTCTTTAGAATCAGTTAAGAAGAGACTTGATTTGTATGACGTATCTAAGACATCTACTGTGTAAGCCCTAGCTGATGTAATGATCATGCTTTGCATCTGTCCCGCTGAAATTAAAGACTTGTGTATATCTAATGGAGGTGTAACTGAATATGCAAAAAACTGAGGCTAACAGGATAATCCTTAAATATTTAAATCGTTAGAAAAAGATGAAGAGTGGGCTAAACTTCTCCTTACTTGGATTCAGAAATCAATTTCTTCTGGACAGTTGAGAGATCCAGGAGTGCCAGGAGTTAAATGGTTTAATACATTTCTGAAAAAAGAAAGATTTCTTCCTGAAACTGATAAACCACTCCTCCCTAGCTATTTGTGTAAATTAGGGACAGTATTTACGATTGTATCAAATAGTACGAAGAATTTATTGCATGCTATGACTATTGTTGAGCAAGTATTAAGACACAGTCCTAATAATAACACTTCACCAGCACAGAATTATACTATAATAAATATGCGAAAAAGAGGACAGCCTTATAATCAGACAACGGCCTTCAAACTCTTTGACGAAAACTAATCATATATATGGGTTAGACATTATTTATTAATTTTATTTTTTTTTTGTTTGTTTAAGATTTAGTATATAGAATATATCACGAAAATGATAACTGATCAAAAGCATTCATCTGATAGTATGCCTATTGAGCAAAAAGATATCAAATATACAAAGATATTAACTCAGACATTTGGACTAAATGAGCAAAATGCAGAAGTATATAGTGTATTTTCCAGAGAAAATAGGGCATTAAAGAAACAATTGGAAGATTATCATTCCCAACACAATATCTTAGAAAAGAGAGTAAAAAGATTAAAAAGAGACGTAAAGTCCTTAGAGACTGAATTAAAAGATTTAGACGAATGTGTGAATAGGAAAACTGTAGTCGACTTAATATAAGAAATAGTTCCCTCGCTAAATATCAAAAAATGTAAGGGTTTCCCCTATTCATCTGAGTCTTCTGAAAAATCTGATTTGGTTAAGATAATTAGGGTAAGAGGGGCTGTTCCTCATAAGCAATGAAGGAGGACACGATCAAGAAGGGTTAAGCGGATAGTAGTTTGAAGTGGATCGAGTCAGGCACTTTGCATATTTTTCAGTCAAAGTTATTAAGTTTATCAGATAAATAATCAAAATGGAAAGTGACCAGCCGAAGGCACTCAGGGTGAAGCATCTGATAGCCTTAACTAATATCCCGCCTAAGTCTACTTCATCTAAGGCTAGTTCATCTGAATCAAGTTCTTCTGAGTCTAGTTCATCATCTGAGAGTAATTCCTCTGAGACTAGTTCATCTGAATCAAGTTCTTTCGAGAGTAGTTCCTCTGAGACTAGCTTATCTAAATCCAGTTCATCTGATTCTGATATTGATGAAATAGTAAACATGATTAAACATCAAAGAATTTGGAAGCGCCAAGTCCAAAGGAAAGATTAGGAGAAAAATGCATATAATAAAAATAAGGCTAATTAACTATCTGATAAATGGGAGTCCAGAGCAATGATAGAGGTTTATTTTTTATATTTAAATATTATATATGCCATAATAAAATAGTATTCGTGAATTGTGTAGTCGAAAAAAATATCCCTATTGAGGCATCAATTAATACAAGTACTGATGTAAATTGTATTAGCCAAAAACATATTGGTGAATTAGGAATTACAAATCACAGTAAAAGCAATAGTATTGTAACTCCGGATGTATCCTATTTCATATTAGGAAAAGTCAATCTGCATATTGGTTTTGAAGATAGTGAGAAGCACAAAAGCACACTTGTTGAATTTATAGTTTCTGGACCAGATTGGCTAGGACCTGATTTAATTTTAGGAGGACCTTAGTTTTGAAAAAATGGTGCAACTTTGGATATATGCGATTCAAAACTATTATTAGACGATAATTTTGCGATCCCATTCAAAGAAGTAAAAAATAAACCTAATGCAGAATAATGATTATTGAAGCAGTGATCATCAATATGTGTAATTTTGCAAAGCGCCTTAACAACTATTTTTTTTCGATTAAAGATACAGCATATATTATTCATAGCGTATTCAAGTATTTTTATTATACCAGAACTATTAGAGTAGATTCTATATTTCCTAACAGTAGATAAGACACTGTATCCTACCCTATTTGTTTGCCAGTTTTGGTACAGATGTGGTGGTCATATTTTATGGAGACGCATTGAGTTAAAGGAAAATAACTGGAGGTATGGCTATAATGTTAATAATCATTTTTGATTGGAAAAATTTGTAAAAATAATGTGTGAAAAGAATAAACCAGCTTATGCCTCAAATGTAACTCATCTAAAAATTACTTGTTACCATTTACTTTCAGATAAAAAAATAAAAAGTATTATGAATATATTTCTGAATATAATTCATTTAGATTTCAAAGATAGTATAGGTTTTAGTGATAAATCACTATTTATAATAACGGAATCATATCCTAATTTAAAATATCTCAATTTGTGAAATGCTCAAGCAATAACTGATAAAGGTTTATGTGCGATCATACGATCATGCTGTAAATTAAAATATCTAAATATTTCTTACTGCAGAAATATTACCAATAAATCTTTGTTTGAAATCGCAGAAAATTGCCATGATTTACAAGTGTTTCATTTTACCGAAGTGCGTTGGGATTCAGATAAATCTATAAGTTGCATTTTAAACTCATGCTCAAATTTACAAAATCTTGATATTGCATATAGTAAGAGGGATGTCCAAGATGCTAGTACTTTGATGTGAAAACACTTCAAAATAGAGTATTTTGACTTTAATGAGGCTATGATGTTGTGGAATGATGAATTGATTATAGCCATTATCAGAACATCTCCAAATTTAAGACATTTAGATATCAGTCATAATGATATTAGTGATAAGGTTACTGAAGCACTGGCTCATACTTGTCATAAATTAGAATATCTTGATCTGAATTGCTGTAAATTTGTTAGTGAACCATTAATTTGTAATGTTATACGTTCCTGTCTAAAGCTCTAACATCTTAACCTTAGTTGCTGTAATATTACCAGTATGATTATTAAAGAAATTGCTTGCTTATATCTCAATTTAAAATCTCTAGATTTGGAAGAATGTGAAAATATTAGTAAGAAAACCATGGACTAGCTAAATCCAAATATTCATATCGATTTTGATAAAGATTACTGTTCTGATTCAGAATCTTCTAGCACTGAGTTTGAATAATCTAGCTAGTCTGAAGCAGTGATCACGTAATTTTTTTTCGTTTGAAGATACAATATATAATATATACTATGTATGACACAATCAAGCATCTTTTATTTACCAGAACTACTAGAACAGATTTTACATTTTTTAGCGATAGATAGCTTTTTATTTTTCAAGCTAAATTTATGAAAAAAAAGGATTTATGAAAAAAAAATACTTGACATTTTTCGAGACGGCCTGTCCTAGAAATTTTTTGAACATTGAACAATTTCTTTCATAATATAAAATTATTATTGATCATGTTAGATAATAAAGCTAACCCATCTGAGCTTGAAGTAATAAGACAGCATATCATTAATCTAGAAGCCGAGAACTTTAAGATTAAGGCTGAGAAAGCTGAACTTGAAGCTAGGGATGCTAAGCTTAAGACTAAAATCGAAGAGCTAGAAAAAAATAATGGAGTTACCTCTAAATTCGTGTCTGAAAATGCTGAACTTAAAGCTAGAGTTGCAAAATTGGAGGAGGATTACAGGCTGATGCAAAATGACTCAAAGGGAAATAATGCTACTATGGTAACTGATTCTCTTAACGTTAACTCTCCTAACTGCAATTCTGATACATTATTACCTAAAGAACTAATACCAGAAGTTTCACCTGCCAGTTCCAAGTTATCGAAAGAAATGGAGATAAATACTTACTTGGATGAGATGTATAAGAAAAATGTTAGCAATGAGATTAGGCAGAGAAATCGGAAAAAGAAACTTCAAGTCCAAGAGTCTCATCCTAAAGAGAAAATACCTCAAGAGCACAACTCGATTATCCAACCATGTAATAATTCGACATCTGAAGTCAGTGAAAACGTCGACCTAGGTTCACTTAAGTCTCCTAGCTCTGATCCAGTGATCCATGATCAAAATGGAGTTACTAGGAATAATAGATCACATAAGAAAAAAGGAATGGATAAACTCAAGCATGAATTATTTAATCCCCTTTTGGGACCAGATAGTCCAAATAATATGACTGAAATTTTTATATGTAAAAAAGTTACCCATGATAACATTGATGAAGCTTCACATCATTTAGCTTAATTATGTGATAAAGCTATTGATGCTGAAGATAGAGCAAATCAAGCTAATCAGGAAGAAATTCTATGTTAGTGCCTCTACTAGAAGGATTTCAGAAATCAGCTTGATGAGATTATCAAAAGCGGGGATGGAAAATTTGGTGAAAAGAAGGCAAGAAGTATTCTTTATGATACTATCACAGAACAGCTTTCTATTCTCTGCAAGAAAAGATCACAAGAACTGGGGATGTAACTTCAGGACGTATCACAAGATAGCTTGCGTAAGAAAATCCAGAGAGCTGAGAAAAACTATAAATTTTTTGAAATAATGGGTCTAGATAAGATCAAGTATATCAATTCTTATAGTGCGAATTCTCTTTCAGAGTTTACTAATGAGCAAATTCAAGAGATTATAGATTATGGAATATCTTTGGAAAAGTTACCTACAGATCAAATGACCAAAATTTTCGAGATGGCCCGTCCTGAAAAAATCTTGCCTATATCTGAAGAAAATTCATCATCCACATCTCAAATCGCTTCAGCTAAGGCAGACAATGATGACGATAAGTATTTTTATTCTGAAGATAGGGAAGTGAAAGGAGCGAATAAAGAGGTGCCAAAGGTGTTAGCAAAGCTAACGGATGATGATAGTGACTATAATCATGACAATGATTCTGAAGAAGAGATACCATATGGATCGGATGATGGGTATGATAATAGATACAGTGATTATGATGGAGGTTATTATTATTGTGATGGAAAATATGAAAGGAAAACATCACCAATGATGAATCCTATTATCTCTCCAGTGACCGCTTAGGAGAATTATCACATACTTTAGTACTGGATTATCTTATAAGTTTATTTTTTTCGAATCACTTGGGAAAAGAAACTTCATCATGTGCGCAATTGATATCGGGAAAATTCTTACCAAAATTTTTCATTGAAATTAACGTTTATCATATGATTAATCGGTAGATCCCGTTGGAAATGTGCATATGACATAACATGTATCATAGACTAACGTCTAAAACTTTGCCTCAAAGAAAAAAAGCTAATATCGTTCGAAAAAATAATCGTGTATAATAATAGTCTACAATCATAGAATAACATCATATACCCAAGGCTAGTCCCGCACTATGTAATTTATTTTAGCTCAATGTATTGCGAATAAAAAACGTTTAGGATACTAAGTGACCCGAGCAATATAGTCAAATATTTTTCTCGTAGTGATTGGTAATAATTTTTAGACCGTACATACTAATTTTTTATGCTCGAGCGTATATGCATGTTAATACAGGGTAATTTAGGAAATCTGGATCAGCAAATTAAAATTGCCAGCAAAGATCCATGGACTTTTATTTTCAAACTTTCTCGCATATTCTCAAAATTATTACATATATTATTGTAAAAGGATCCCTTGATGATCTTTACATATAGATAGCATTAAATTCTTTTATTGTTAAATTAAGGAAAGTCCGTTGATCAGATTTTCGTAATGCGATCATATTAACGTAATTTCCCCAAAAGCGTATAACAAAATCGATTCTGTGAATTATATAAAAAGGTGATGAC